ACTACTACTACTAATACTACTACTACTACTACTACTACTACTACTACTACTACTACTCTACTACTACTACTACTACTACTACTACTACTACTACTACTACTCTACTACTACTACTACTACTACTACTACTACTACTACTACTACTACTACTACTACTACTACTACTACTACTACTACTACTACTACTACTACTACTACTACCAAGACTACTCCACCTGGTGCTCCTCCTCTCACCTGGTGCTCCTCCTCCTGCTGCTGCTGCTGCTGCTTCTCCTCCTCCTCCTCATCCTCCTCCCCTTTTCCCAAGACCCCCGGCTTCACGGAACAAATCGTGACTGCTGCTTGTGTCCAAAAAGTCGCTCTGTGGAGGCCCGGCTCGGGCCACGGGACCATGAGAGAACACCGCCCAGGGTGGAAAGCCGACCTCAGGGAAGAGCTCGAGAGGAGCAGGGCCCCACGTCGCGGAAACAACTCCTTACGTCGGATGTCGGTGGGCCCTCCTCCGAAAGGGCCTCCACTGGCCCCTACGACCTGCTGACAGACCACTGGCGGCGCGCCAGGAGGCGGCCTTCTAGGAGAGGAGGGTGCCCATGGACAAGGACCAGAGGTTTCTAAGAAGGCTTCTTTGAAAGCGAGAGGGCTTCTGAGAAGCCTCCCGCGTTCGTAGAAGACCACCACGTTCGCCGCGACCCCACGCTCGCCCCGCCAAAGAGGGCCAGAGTTCCGGGGACGCCTCGGCGACGGGGACACACCAGAGCGGGCACACCTGCACCTGCCTTGCAGAGCGGGTACACCTGCGCCTGCGACCTGTGCCAGCAGAGGCCTGCCAGTGAGCCACTCGGCTTCACGCAAGAGTGACCCTAGGGAAGAGTGACCTTCGGTGCGCGGCTTTCTAGGTGCGCGGGGGGCCAAACCCGAGCGCGCGAGCCGCTGCTGACGCATCGCGTTCTGCCACCTGGGGGCCCTGGTGTGCCGCACCAAAGGTTGCTCTGGCGAAAGGTCACCATTGCGTTCGAGTAGGTGATCGACTACAGAATTGACTCCAAAATTGAAACGCCCGTCAAATCCACGAACAATACGAAAAATGCTCGTGCAGGCTCTCGAGCAGTCCAGCTAGTCCTGTAGATCCGACTGAAATCTAAGCTCTGGGGGGGCACTCAATCTTGTGATCGACCTCCTCCTCGAGACTTGCTGCCGAGCCCCTGGAGTTCGCCCTTGGGCTCCCCGGGAGGGAGCACAAAGGCCCCCCCGCATGCCGCTGTTGGACGGCGCCCCGGGGGGGCCCACGGGGGCGGAACAGGCGGCCCGCCGCGAGGCTCCGCCCATTGGACGAGACGTCGAAGCCGGCGGCCCGCGAGTAGAGCTCCAGGACCCTCCTCTTAAGCAGGGACCGACCGTCCCGGCACCCCTCTTCTCCGGATGGCACAAGGATCGCCCCTCCCCCCCCCCACCCCACCCCACCCCTTCGGTTCGGGCGGGGGGGATGGGCACGTGCCGTCGGAGGGGGACTGAGGGGCGCGGCGGTCTTGAAGCTCAAGTTCCCGGGAATGTGGGTAGGGGGGGAATTCGGGATGCGCGTCGAGGGGCGGGGGGGGGGGATGGGGACGCTCCGTCGGCGTCGGAAAGTTAATCGCCCCCACAATACTTATGTCATCCGGAGTATACCCACCACGACATGATCTTAGAGCAGGAGAATGCTCTCAGACCAAAAACAGCTTGCTTACGGAATACAACCGGCGATTGAATAGGACAAGGCGATCTGAGCTAGAAATGGTTTCTAAGAGCACGCCGTGCAAGCCACAACATGTTCTTAGAAATAAACCGTGGGCCTCTAGGCAGGTCGGGGCGCTTCACCACTTCTTCGAGTCCTGCGCGCGCAGGAGTTCGGCGAGCCGCCGAAGAAGGCGAGTGTGGGCCGCCCGCCGAACGCGCGCGAGCGGTCGCTCGGCTCAAAGCGGGAGGGGATGGATATCACGGTGTCCTGCTCGCGGAAATTGCGGGCGGGGAACATCTCGCTCGCGACGGTCACCGGCACCGTGTCCTCCTGCCAGCAGCTGCCCTCGCCCGCCCCGTAGGCCATCGCGCCGGGCACAGCGAGCAGCGCCTGCTGCCGCGAGAGCCACCGCTCGTCGCCCGTCAGGGAGCCGACGCTCCAGTGCTCCAGCCAGGCCGCGCTCCGGGGAAAGTCCTGCCGGCCGAGGTCCATGCTGAAGACCGTCCAGAAATTGCGGCCGTCGTGGCGGCGGTGCAGCGGCGACTCGTGGGCCCACCGCAACAGGGGCACAAGGTATCTGGCCTCCGCGGCAGCGATGGCCTCCCAGTGGGTCAAGCCACTGCCCATTCGGAGGTCGAAATACACCTGCGAGACACACTGGGGGAAGTAGACGTAGCGAGCGCGCTCCGGCTGCGCTGCCAAGTAGTGCACGTTGTCCTGAAGCATCTGCGAAAAGTACCACTCCATCGAATACTGGAAGCCCTGATACTTGCACTCGACGTGGTTGGTAAGCCCTGGAGCACAGTCGGGCCTCCAGCCAGTCGTGCCCGAAGGACAGTCGCTGCTCGGCAGCTCCATCACAGCGAACTCTCCGCGGAGGGCCCGTATGCGCTGCGAGTCCAGGGCCACGTGTATGGCATCTGCACCCCTGCCTCTACAGCCCAACGCCACAGCAGCCAGAGCAGCCGTGCGGACCGCCGACGTCGGCGGCGTGGGCCATCGCGGCATTGGCAAAACAAAAAAGGAAAAAAATGGGAGTGAGTGGCGGATGCGGTGGCGGAAGGCACAGCTCCACAGAGAATATGAGCGTTCGAAGTGGTGGGCCGAGGGGAAGGTGCGTCCAGCTGGCCAGGACGAGCAGACAGAATCTTGAGAGCCCAATGCTGAGCCAGGAAGGGAGTCGTCCTTCGAGGGAGCAGTAGGAAGGACGCTGCCTTCAGAGATAGGGGCCGACACCAAAAGCCCCGAAGCCATAAGATCCCCGGGACGGGGAGATAGAGGGAGAGATAGAGAGAGAGAGAGAGAACAAAAAAAAGACCGACAGAGAGACAGACAGACAGGCAGGCAGACAGGCAGAGAGAGAGAGAGAGAGCTATAAAGAAAGAGCGAGAGTCTTAACGATTCAACAAAAGAAGAAGAAGAGAAACGAGAGAATCCAGAGGGGACCACACAGAAATATTGAGGGGTCAGGAGATAAAGAAACGTGAAGATAAGGCGGCAAGAGAGGATTGCCCATGCGATCGATCGGAAGAAGCGGCCGCAGTTGCCGCGGCAGCTCAGAGAAAGGCCCGAGCGCGCGGTGGAAGAGGAGGAGTGGGAGGAGGAGAGCGAGAGGGACGAGGAGGAGGGAGAGGAGGAGGAGGAGTGGGAAGAGAGAAGGCGGGAGGAGAAGGAGGAGTTGGAAGAGAGGAGGAGAGAGGAGGAGGGGGGGCAGGGCCTGCCGCGTGCGGAGGCAGAGGAGGAGGGAGGAGGAGCGGGAGGCCGTCGTGGCGCACACCCCGAGGTCGGCGGCGAGGACGCTGGCGGAGGATGCGCGATGGGCAGAGCGAGCTGCACGGAGGGCCATCGGGAGAGGGGGAGGCGATGTCGAAGCAAAGGGAGCGTCATCGACGAGTCCGCATGCTTTCTCAACAAAACGGCGCACCGCTTCGCGTGGATGCCGCGAGTTCGGTGCCGGCGCAGAGCCACTGCGTGCTCAAAGAGGGTGGCCCTCGACAAACTGGCCGACGCGAGCTCGTGGAGTCTGCGCAGAGCCTGCGAGGTCCTGGCATGCTCTACGGAGGCCGCAACCTGAGATGAAGCATCTGGTTCCTGTCCTGATCGGGTCCCGCACGAGCGTGCTGTGACTACCTACAGAAGGAACAGCCTCAGAGGCTCCATCTGGCGGCCCGAGGCCAGCTTGTCCCTGGCGTCCTGGAGGGCACTGGCGTTCTGGGCACCTATGCTGCAAACCGACGCGAAACTCGTTGTGGATCGCGAAGCTCACAGCCATCCGCGCAGCAGGAGCACGGCGCGAGTTGTCGGGCAGACAGCATGGCTTGGGAACGCTGAGGCCAAGGACCACGCGTACGCCTGAGCTGGGAGCACGGGCTAGAAGGTCCAAAGCGGCATTGCGGCAAGAACGGAACGCCATGCGGCCCAGCGTTTAGGAACATCGCCGGGCATCGCTAGCTTGGGGAATCGAGGCCGAAACCATTTCGCAGTCGTCTGGTAGCAAGGACGTCGTCACGGCCTTGCAAATACGGCCCTTGGCTTAGATTTCCCCTGATGTCGGCGGCACCTTGGCACTCAACGTCCAGTGCGGCGCTTCGCAGCAGCAGGGACCTGCCGCATGTGCCCCGCATGGCCTGCTGTGAAAACGAAACAACGACGCTCATAAGCTCGGGTGCCCCCTCAGGCCCTTGGCCCGCGCTGGACTCGGAAGAAGTTCGTGCAGCCGCCGTCACGGGCCGCGGAGAGAGCAAGATGAGGAGAATCACCGCCCGAGGCTCGCAACGGTCCAACAGGCAAGGTCAAACGCCCCATTGCCACATCCATCCCTCGCAGTTCTGGTGCCTTACGTCATAACCCATCTGCAGCCTCCATGGAGGGGAGCCGAGCACGTCTCGTCTGGCTCATCATCGCCACCACACGTAGCCTTGCAAACGCACTAACAGATGTTATAATGTGTTTGCCCAACTTACGGCGGTCCATTGCATGGCGCCTCCCTCAGGCCAGCATGGGTGCGCAAGCTCAAGCCAGACAATTGGCACAACTGCGCTGCAGATATGGGCTTCGTACCGATTGGAGCGAACTCCTCTTAGATCGCGAATGCCTGGGTTAACCTCTTTGAGCTGGAAGGCTGGACGCTGGCATTCCCAATGTCTGAGAAGGACCACACCACGTGCAGCACCTTCGAACTTGGAGCCCAGTAATGCTGTGACACATGTGCGGCCAAAAGGATAGCTATGTCTCAGTTCTTCAGTATGGGGGGAGTTACAATCGCCGCCCACCGACCCCGAAAATCCCCATTGTGTCGGACCGCTGCCCCAGCACATGGCTACATCGTTTTGCACGTCGTCCTGTGTGAATCCGCGCACGCCGGCGACTCCATAAGATCATGCGGCGCTGAAGCATCGCGCCAGAAGCGGATGACGCTGTGGACACTGTTGGCGGTACAGCATATTTTCTGCATTTGAGCAGATGGCATTCGCTGCGGCGCTCTCGGGTTTGCCGTTCGCAGTGCAGCATAAATATGTGCATTGTTGGTGCGATGGGTCACGGTATCCTCAGCCGTACTTATCGCAAGCAGGCTGTTTGGCTTGCGCAGTGGTGGCAACTGAGGCAAGGAACCCTACACGAGGCAGAAATCTGACCTCTTCGAGAAGGTACACGAGTTGGCGTACCAGCTGGCGGCAGGTGCGGCTAGCACTGAACTTGCACCTGGGCAGGCTGGTGGCTGCAGACCAGAGTGGAAGCAGTATAAACAGAATGAGGCAACAGCGAGCTCCAGGTGCACGGTTTCCCCCGAGGCCGTAGGCGACCCGAAGAGGAGGAGGAGGAGGAGGTGGAGGAGGGGGAGGGGGAGGAGGAGATGGAGGAGGAGGAGGAGGAGGAGGAGGAGGAGGAGGAGGAGGAGGAGGAGGAGGTGGACTGTGGAGGAGGAGGAGGAGAAGGAGGAGAAGGAGGAGGAGGAGGACGGGTCGCCTAAGCCCTTCGGAGAAACCCTCCAGCTTCAGGCTTCACACCATGCATCCATACCCAAGCGAGCAGCCTGCGGCAACAGAGCCGCCCCGATGACCCCTTGGGGAGGCCCGGGGCGCCGCACCGGCACGGCGCGGGGCCCAAACGGTGGATGCACGCATCGCCTCGGCGCACTGGGAGCGGCCGGTGGGGGTGAATAAAGGAGGCAGTGGCCTCGGGGAGACTGCAACGACACAACCGGAAGGGGCTACCGCTGCGGTGGCTGGAAGCGAACAAGGACTCGCGAGGGACGAGCGGTCCAACCGCCCGTTGCCGCCCTCGACACTGTTCCGCCCGCCCAGCCAAGGCCGTTGTGCTTCGCCCGCTGCCGCTGTCCCTGTCACACACGCATTGGCCCCGCTCATGGATGCAGACGGTAGCAGCACGGCAGTGGCCGCAGCTACTCAGCGAGGAGCCTGGATGTGCGTCTTTGCCATGGGGGGCGATCAACCGCCGTAGCCCGCTTGCACTGTTGGACCCATGCGAGGGGGGCATACTCATTTTTGTGTCATCGCGCTGCTTAGCTCGGAGGCATCTTGGCATGTGGGTAAAAACATGGCCGCGTCTGCTTGTGGGGATGAGCTTGGCTGTCCCCAAATCTCCTTCTCCCACTGTGCCGCCGCGACCCCTACACAGACGTTGCGAGTGCATGAAAAAGGAGGGGAACCACAACGACGATCACGACGACGGGGAGGGCAGGAGGAGGAGAAGGAGGAGCAGGAGGAGGAAGAGTAAGAGGACAGGGCCCTGAACCGAAATGCCAAGGCAGACAGGGGTGCGGCGGCTGCCCTTCTGGGTCCTTCCTCCTCTTGCTCCTGGTGCTCCTCCTTCGCCTTCTCCCGTTCTTCTAGCTTATCCTCCCCCACCCTCCTCCATCCTCCTACACGTCCGCGCCCTCCTCCTCCTCCTCCTCCACCTCCTCCACCCCTTTTCCTTATACATAACTTCTCCCTGTCGCACCCAGAAACAAGTGTTTAGGGCGGGCTGGGCGTTTCGCCTGAGACTTCCTCATCATTTATGACTCTGAAGCTTTAAAATTGACAGCAGCTTCACAGATGGAGGACGGGTGGTTTTCAAAATTACACCTGACAAAACCCGAATCAGTGGATGATTTGAAAATTGATACTACGGATCTTGAGATCGATTGTGAGATCGATAATGAGATCGATAGTGGAATCGATAGTGAGGACGATTGTAAGGTCGATCGTGAGACCGAGAGTGAAATCGGCTCAATGAGATCGATAATGAGATCGATTGCGACATCGCTCATGCGATCTCTAGTGAGATCGCTTGTG